TTTTTAGGTCCATAAAGAGCTTGGTATTAGTCCTGGAATTGCCACAACAGTCACAGCTGCAATAAGAGACAAGGATGTCAACAGGAAAAGGACTGTAGCAAAGACAAAAGAATTCAAGGTTTGATTTAAAAACATTTAAGAATTTTCATTTGGACACAATCTTTATACATTGAATGACTTTGAAGGAGATTGATTAATTCTAATCATAGTTAAAACAGTTTTTATGCAGCCTTTTGAAATTTCTTATTTTCAAAAAAAGAAATTAAAAATCCCTTTTTTGTGGGAGTTATATCCCTTTGATCATATAGATTGAAAATTTTAAAATAAAAAAACACCTAAGAATTGATGTTTTTTTTTAAATTTTATATAAAATATTTTCCTATTGTATCATTATAACTTTGTGAATAAACATTACATTTGTCATGCTTTAGAATGTGTAAACTTTACTTTTACATGAAACAATGCAAAGGAATGATTATTTCTTATATTTTACAGTTACAACGTTTAAAACTTACAAGTCAGAGATCTTCAGAAACAAAAAGTCATGAAATCAGGCCTAGGGAGGGGACACTTACTGCTCAAATGTCATTGGTATGTATAAATTGTTCTTAAGATAGCTAAATGGATTTACAAATGTACATTAGCAATCTTTTATCTATATGTTTTCAATAAGAATTTTAAAAAACAACAATTGTTCCTACAACATTGCATTAAAACACTATATTAAATATATTTCAAAATATTTAATATAAAATTATAGTTATAATAGATTAATTTGGGATTTACCATTTTTCAACAAAGAAAGATAATTCTTGTTAGAGTTTTTCTGACAAGATGGATTTTTTGGGAATATGATTGAACTTTCATGATAAACAACCTTTTAAGATAGCTTTGACAATGAAAGAACCTGACTAATTTCCATTAATAAAATATCCCTGCTAATATTATTGATCAATTTTTATAATAATGATTGATTGTTACTCTTTTTTGGGGTTTGAATTTCACATCTAATAATATGTGATTTATAAAATATCAAAATATCCAATATATAACAAAAACAAAATAAGAAAGAAATTTGAAATCAAAATGTATTTTAAAGATTTAACAAAAAGAAAGTGTTTCCATTACTTTTTCATATGACATTGGATTATAACACAAAAACGAACACAGTGTTATTACATCCCTTCTTTCCAAGTTTATTCATTATATTGAATTGTTTCTGATAAATCTGCTTACAAGATGTAATTTGAGCTCAATTGTATATTTTAGCTGATGCACAAGAACCTGATTTGACAGTTATTCCAGGACCATCAGAGGACAAATGTGAGCATATTGAGAAAGTTGTATTTTTTTATGATTTAGAGACCACAGGACTAAGTATAATATAAATTGGAAATAGGAAAATATCAAGTGTATTTGTACAAGCTTTAGGAGCAAAAGAATATGCAAGACTTGCCAAACAATTTCACCTATTGCAAAGTATTCACAAAAACTTGATATTTTCTGACAATATTATATACTTATTGCCTGGCTATAGGGACAATTGATTGAATGGGTAGGGTTGAATGGAAACATAGTTAAACTTGCTATTGTCTGAAAAAGCCAGTCAATAAGTGTTTTTTTATACAGAAAACCATGGCATCAGAATGATGTATTATCAGACTATGATGTCACTTTTATCCAAAGTTCAGGAAATGGTTAAAAACTATTTGCTGGTTAAGTCTTTTGAACTATTAGGTGAATAGTCAACAGAAAATTTTGTTCAAAAGGTTTATGTGTTCGTTTATAATTCTATTAAAAAAAACCACACCGAGGTATAACAATGATATTATTTTATTCTGAAAAAAACTCATCTAAGATTTTAAAAAATCTAGACAATCAGGAATTCATTAGTTGCATCAAACAATGTCCTTCCACAATTTTTATCTGCAACTTTTAAGAATGCCTCATCAAGGAAATGTTATGAAACTTGCACAAAATGTTAGTCATAGATGCACATTTATTGGAATATGCATAAAGAAAAATAATCCTGGGCTGAAAAAATTCCAAGGGAGATAATTGAAATAATTTAGTTAATCAAATGTGGGATGTGGGGGTATCTTTTAGTAAGTTGACTCATAGTCCAATGCAATACTCTCAGACTGCTAAGTACTATCCACACTGGTCTGTGTCCACTATTGTTACTCTTGGTTTAATTATGCAGAAGATATTTGCAATTGAACTTTTAGCATGACAATCAATCAATCTAATTATTTTGATCAGAATATTTAGTTAATTTCTTTTTTTTAATAGGTAGACAAAGTTCAATTACACAAATTTCTGCAGTTTGTGAGGAACAGGAATTTAACAGATACGCAACTCCTACTCAAGAAATTTAAGAGGATGCATGTAGAGTGACAGGAATTAGGTTTAATACAGCGACAAATGAGCTCCTTTACAATGATGAACCAGTTTCTCATAAACACCCACAGCAAGTTCTTTTAGATTTCATACAGTTTTTAATGTCACTTTGTGCCAGTGACAAAAACATTGTGCTTGCTGCTCATAACAATAGGCGATTTGACAGAATCATACTGTTTAATCAGTTAAAATTTTATAAATTATGGAATCAGTTTTCTAGATATATTGTTGGATTCTGTAATACTTTACCATTCTTCAGAATGTTATATCCAGAATTTGAAAATTACAAGCAAGAGTACATTGCTCAGAAACTGTTGAATGAAGCTTATTCCGCTTACAACGCTTTAGATGATTGTAGAATGCTTATGTCTATGGTAAAAAAAGACGGAGAAAATTGATGTTCTCCTATCTGACTATTGTTACAGCACTCACCAAGTTACATTTCATGGTGTGCAAGCGAATATAGAGTCTTTAGAACACTTGTTAAGAAATAAGGTCCTCTCTAGAACTATTTTCAAGAAACTTGAAGATTCATCATTGACTTACAATCATTTGAAAATTTCTTATCATAGAGATGAATTTGATGGTCTGTTCTATTTGTTGAGTGAAAAGACAGGCAGTGGAAAGGCCAGAATTAGTAACAATCGTAGAGTGATTCAAAAGATAGCCGACTTTTTTTCTAATGAAGAATGATGTTATCACTGTATAATCATGTACATGTATTGATAAATAGGGCAACATTTAATATTTATCCCCCCACTTTAAAAAAATAGGGGTTTACTGTTTTACTCTGTCTGTCCGTCCGTCTGTCTCATGAATACATTTTGTCACATTTTTCTGAGGAACTACAAGATAAGGATTTCTAAAATTTGATTTCAGGGTTTATATAAGTGAGCTTTACCGTGTGATGCATTTTAAGATTCATCACTCAACAACTTCCAGTTTACCGAAAACTTGTATAATTTTACACATGATAGCCAAAATGAAATTTTTTGTCACATTTTTATCAGAAACTACTGAAGAAAGATAAAATTTGGAAAACAAATATTAAAAATGTATCAATTAATAATTGTCATGATTTAGCACGTTTTTTAGAGGTTGTTGCTGTGTAATCTGGTCTCTGACTCACAAATTTAACATAAAAGTCCTTTTTTTTTGTTTGTAAGTTAACTGACTCTGTCGAGTAAATAAGTTTAATCCTATAATGTTGCAAAAAAATCACAATTTCATTTGCTGTCAGTTATCAGCCTTATGTTTTAGGGACCTCAAAAATTCTTTTCATATACATAGATATAGTGATTGTCACATGTATTTTGGCTTTAATATTAAAATTTGGTCTGCAGCTTCAAACTATAGAGCTTTTATGTGTAAAAGATTTATTTGGATGATTGAGGTTATTACTTGGCAGAACAACAAAAGTTACCTTGTGTTCATTGTTGAATTTATGTTATTTGTTATATTGTTAATATTGAAATTATTAAATACTCAAGCAGTAAGAAGATTGGTTTTTTATTATGTTTATCTGGCCTAGAAACAAAAAAATAGATCAGGAAATGTTAGTCCTGTCTGTAGTAATGAACATTGTTGGAACAAATGCATGAAGTCATCACCAAGTCACCTGGTGCAGTAGATATAAAAAAAGAAGATGTGGTATGATTACGAATGAAACACAGTCAGCTATAAAAGGCTGCTAGAGTTCACTATGTGATCTCCACTCAATGACATTGGAATTGTCCACTGACAGTCTGCTCCATATTGCCTCAAAAAAATTAAAACAGTTAAATACAATGGCACAGCAAAATATCAAGATAAATGATTTGACAGAAAACAAGTCTCGTTAATTCCCAGAGAGGAGTTCGCACGGCCTTTAAAGTGTACCCAAGCCTCTTAGGCAGGCTGGCTATAAAGACCAGCTTTTAATGATTTAAACAGGATTCTGTATGAGATATCTGTTTTTAAAGTTGACCCCTCACTAGATTTTTTATACACTCTACTAAAAGTAGGGGGATTGTAGTGTTTACATCTCTGTGTCAGTCAGTCTATTGGTTCAAACTCCGGTTAAACTGCAGGTGGAAGTTATTTTACCACAAAGGATTGTGCTATCAATATGAAACTTTATGAACCTATATGCATCAGAGTATAAATAATATCATTCTGGAATTGAACCCCTCTAATTAACTTCATGGTTCATTGATTATGCAAAAAAGGTATTTCATTACATTTTATTTTTTTAAATCTTCAATTTGTGTTTTGAGATATTCCCCATTCTGATTTATAACTAGTATTTTCATTTGCAAGTCTTTACTAGAAAACTATTTTTTTTCAAATAAAAATATGCAATTCAATTCCTATTGATATTTTTTATTTGTAAAATAAAAAAAAATGTTTTGAGATTCTCCCTACTCAAATTTCAAAACCCAATTAACCACTGTTTTTTTTTCTTTCATCTTAAATGAATTTCTCTTATGTATTTTAAGTTTGTTTTAATTACATTTCCATATTTCTTTTTAATTATTTTTGATTATGTAATTTTTGCTTGTGAAGATCTGATAATAAATTACTCTCCTGAAATTTTGCCCCCCCCCCCCCTCCCCCCCTCATGAAGTTTTACCTTTTAAGCATGTTTTTTTCTATTAATAATTACAATTTTGTTTTTCTGGGATTACAAAGCGCCAACTAATTACATTTTTTAAAATTAATTTTGGATATTTTGATTTAACATTTTTATTTTCATAAAAAAAATGGTAAAATGTGGGTTTTGAGAGCCCCCCTATCAAAATTTTCCACCGCAACACCCGGTTTTCTGACTTGGAATCGAAAGAGTGATGTTTGATACATGTCATATGTGAAAAAAAAAAATAGTTATTGAACGGTTTTTTTAAATTCACTTTTAGTTCATTTCAGTGCAAATTCTACTATATATCCAATATAATATTAGCCCTATTTTAGCATGTCCCTCCCGTTACTACAATAAAGGTAAGGTATATATATTTTTTAGCTTAATGCATTCATTATACTTTAAAAGGAATTGAGAAAAAAATACAGACATACATGTAGTTATTGGTCAGATTTTTCACAATTCTTTTACATTTAGCTACATTTATTCGTGATAATATCTTTATATTTGCACAATTAATTTTAAAGAAATTTGATATGACAGTCACGTGATACCGATGTTTATTTTTGAATCTGGATTGGATCCAGAACGTTCACAGAAAACTTCCGAACGGCAACACAATGGCCACCGCAACATTTCTCGTTGGTCTTACATGCTTGATCGTGTCCACATGATTTAGCGGTTAATGAGCCTGTTGAATCGGATGGGCAAGAACCTACAAAACACAACAGATACTGTATATTATAACTTGCCAATTATTATTTCAAGCTATTATAAACTTATGCATGGTTACTTCATTGACTTACATATCTATTATCGGACAACCATTTCTCTTCTTTTGAACTTTGGTGGATAGTTCTCATTTGCAATCATATCACATTTCCCTACTTTCATATTAACTTTAAAATTTCCGGACGACAGACGAACATGGGTACTACTATTTACCACGATAATTTGGTGAAAAGGACATACTTTAACAATGCAAATGGATAAATGGATAACATAATGATCTTTTGACCGTCAATGGTTGAATCGAAATTTTGTTAAATGTATTACTTCAAATATGAGATTGAAAGATCGGATGCAATCAAAGTGAAACAATTCTAAATTCCGTGTTTAACAAGACCGTCATGAAGAGTCTTTCATATAGTAATTTCAGTCAAAGATAATAAAAAAAATCGGCGCATTATTTGGAAAGTATGATCAAAATCGACTTCAAAACAGGAATCATGAAGGAGTTTCATAATAAAATTGAAATTGTCAATGTTAACGTTGTTAGATTCATTTTTAAAACTCACCACTATCTGCTCAAGATGAGAGAATCAAATTGTACAGACGATATGCAATACATTGCCCTAATCTTATAAAAGTTACGATTAAATAAATGAATAATAAATATAAATATAATGGAACAACAAAGAAATGTTTGCCGGTAAAAAATAAACATACCAAGGTGCTGGAATTTAACAGTAACAGCTAAGCACTGTGAACTACATCCATACGGACAACATTTATATCCTGAAAATATAATAATAATGTTGTTTTAATTCCCTTCATTTGAAAAAAAAGGAAACGGGATAAAATAAAATTCACAATTGTTATATGAGTAAATGATCACTCAATTCAACCCTAAGGGCTATTTAAATTTTGCTGAAAGGTGTGAGCCCTCAGGATTGTCACCGGAAACCTTCGGGAAGAGGTATTTCTTCAATTTCTTGTTCGTTCATAAGGTTAGTGGTTCATATATTCCACTTGATGTCATGTTTTATAGTGTTTTGGAACAAAGATTTTGTCTGGTCTCATTACATTGCTTGAATGTCTTCATAATCGTTATTTATATATTTTTGCTATATACTTAAATAAATGTGGTTAAGTCTAAGAACGGTTCTACAAAATAAGTATGTAAAACAAGTCTTTGGTAGGTTGTTGTCTCCTTGAAACATTCCCCGTTTTCATTCTCTATTCTACTATTCATGCGGTGGGACAAGTACTTCATAAACAATACATTTTTACATGTGATAAACAAATTAAACAATGTACAACTTACCGAATGGACACTGTTCTTGTCTAACACAGTTCCTAGATGGGTCAAATACACAAAATCCAAAGATTCCGTCGCTATTTGGGCAACCATCAGTACTTGTTAGTTTGAAAGCCTAAGATAAAGCATTATGCAATTATTTAATACACTTTTGAATTTATTTCTTTGAATACAGTACGATCAAAATAGAGTATAATGAATCTGTGTTTAACTTCCAATGACAAATATTACATGCGTATCATGACATGGAAATGTTATTGTGATATGGTTAAACCCAATTTTTTACTAGACCGACACGCTGCGAGATTTATAACGTTCTAGTTGATAACGTTTGCGCCATTGGCAACCATATATACTACATCTTCTTATTTTTAATTGTGTAGGGGACACATTATTCTGACTTTGAGCGACCAGTCGTAACCTCTACATGCCGCATGCTGCATATTAATTGATTGTATTATTTGGGGTTGCTCATGTATAAAGTGACCTCCAAATTTTGACTGCTCCGTTTAATTTCTTTGAAAATGCTGTGTGTGTACTGGTATACTACTATAGGGCACATATGCCCTGTGGACAGGGCCTGTTCCGGCATAATACATTTAAACTGTTCATTTACAAATAAATGATGTTATTACAATATAACTAACTTTATTGTTGCAACTCCTACAGGTAAAGTTTACCTTATTTTGTTTTGATTTATCTGTTTATGTACTTTTATTTTTTATGTCAACCAACACTTAAGTGTTAACACTTATTGTAACACCATATTTTGTGACAATGTACGTATCCTTCGAATTTATTCGTCTTCTTAGCCAAAACTTATCTATCAAAAATGTCTTCACATAACTTTTCTTTATATTCGTTTGTTGAACAAGGCATTATTATAGGGCAATGACTCGCAGTAGATTTTATATGTTAAGGTATTTGTATACCGTAGTCTTATAAAACGTCGAACTTCGAAACAGTGGTAACGTTGTCTACATTACACAACGTTCACTTACAGATGTTCAGCAAAGCGATGTGGTGAGCTTACATGAGGATTTTTCTGCGCAATGAATTCTTTGAACCTTTTCATCAACGATATATGTACGGCATTAATCTTCTGTTCAATCAGTTCTTAGTAGGTATGAGATAAGGTTGAGATCTTCTATAGTCAGGCCCGGTGGTAATGTAAGATTCGTTCCGTTAAAAATATGACCACATTATACCCTTAAAGACTACATCCCCTCAAAGGGGGTCTCATTGGGGGGTCTGATCCCGGATCCCGCTTACTGTTTTGTCAGATTCCCGTATCCCGCTTACACTATGTATGTAAGCAATTCTCATTATTTTGTAATTTCCCGTATCCCTCTAGACTTTATTCCCGTTTTCACGGCACAATAATTTGACTTTCACGTGTCACGCTTGCAAAAAAATTGGCAATCCCGCGTCATGCTTAGACCCCAATGAGACCCACCTCAAATTCGGTTTTACTTGTGTAGGCAAATTTATCAATGAATATTCATGTAAATTCATTATTTTAAACTGCCATTTAATTAACCATGTGAACCATTATGTATAATACTTACACTTGATAATGCAATCACACCAAATACACATAAAATATGAACAATTTCCATTACAAGATTTGTCTAAATTCCGTTTAAAATGAAGTTCGTAGTTTCAACCTTATCTTTACTTATTTAAAGATAAGTACGACTTGTGACCTAAACTGGTTGCAATCTGCACGTAACGAACGTTGACCATATAAGTGACACGTAGATATAGCAATTAAAAATGTTCGTCATAGCAACAAACAAGTCAGAATGGTGAAGGAAAAACAAGGCAATATATTACAGAAAAGGGTCGGGTCTAATATATTGTTTTATGTGTTTAAAAAAGTAAAATTTCACTTGTTTTCCTATCCTAATAAACTGTCATATTGTAATGTTTATGTTATTATTGTCACAATAAAAATATTGTTTACACTAATATATGGTTTCGGGAAAGCAATAGGACTAAAAACGCAGGAACGTTAAAGCCAATGTACATGATGTACCGGATTTAGAAAATGTAATGCTTCTGCATGTTGAGAAATTCGCAAATAACTTTTGAAATGCAACATTTCAGTTATACCCAGCATACTCATTAATTTGTGATAATTAAAAATTACCGTCTGTTCTTCTCGGTCTGACCATTTGCAGTTTTAGCCCAATTTATTATTCTTCTATTTGTTAGTTTTAACATATTTTGTTTGTTGCAAATATCGCAAAAAAGGTTAGACGCAAGTAAGTCAAACTTATGTCGTCTTCTCATGCTCATCAACTTCGTACTTAATAGGCCTTTTTAACTTTCTTTATTCTAGTGTCACTGATGCGTCTTTTGTAGACGAAACACGCGTCTGGCGTACAAATTTTTGATCCTGGTGTCTATGATGAGTTTATTTACTCCTAAGACATAATATCAAAATCAATAGACAATGAGCATGCAAGTATTTAAATACATTTTTACATAATTCAATACTATAGTGAGGGAACATTGGAATGAGGGGGCGGGAAGTGGGAGTCAGGGGGCAGGAACCGGGGGAAGAGGAGGGGGAGCAAAGATAGAGATATTTTCCATAAACATTTTGACCAATTTTCATCTGGGAGTAAGGAGTGAGGGAACTGGGAGTAGGTGGGGAAGTGGGAGTTAGAGGGGAGGGAAGTTGGCATCAGGGACCCGTTGTCCACCCCTCATAGTGCCTGACAAGATTATATGAGGTAGACGAATCCGGCCTTTAAATGTTCAAATTGACTTTTTTGTTTAAAAATAAGCAAATCGGTCATTGGTTGACTTCATTTCCTAACTGCTTTTGTTTTGGTTGTATTGGAATAATAATGACATAATCATAAATGTGGTTTTCTGCTAAGACACAATTTGCGTAAACGGGCGTCAAATATATACTAGTATTTCAGTGTTTCTCTATAAAAAAAAACTTTTACAGGGATGAAAACACATGAACTGTAAAGTTTCTAAAATTTGAAAAATGCGTTTTCTTTTTATAAAGTAAAAAAGATCTCTGGCTGTATTACTAACATTTTGTGAAAATGTATGGACTGGTAAATCGAAACTTTCTATATTATGTTTCATTGATAAAAATAAAATGAACTAGTCTAGTGTCCAGTTTGATGGTCAAATAAATTATTGTACACGTGTGTGTGAAAAGAAATGCAAATTAACCTGCTTTTAGATAACATGTATTTCTGAATCATATACAGGATATAGTTATATTCTTAAGGTTACATTTTTCTGCCTAGAACTTTCATCAAAGTTAAATTATGACACCATATTTATATAAAAGTTAATAATAGTATTTTTTTCTACTTGAAGTATAGATGGAGGAGAGAAAAAAGCAAATCATCAATTTGATTGTAAATCATTACAAATATATTTATTTTTTCTCAAACATTTTTTTTTTATTTCAGAGTTGCTATCCCTATTAAAAAAAAAATAAAATAATTTCATATTCATTTGTCAGCATGTTATTTTTCTAGATCTAATACAAGGTTATCTGGTGAAGAGCTAGAATAATTCCTAAGACTATGACGAAATTTGTATATAAAGGATATTTAAAGAAGACATGAAATCAATATTCACGAAGAAACCCACATGGACAAGATACTATTTGATACTAATTTATCTTTAAAAAGATCAGAATTAGAGAATGGTGATGAACGTCTAAATTGCGTCTAAATATTATTGAGGTTTCTGGGACCAAAAGCAACAAGGCATCGTTTTTTCTACCCCATAACTTATTTTCAAATTTGGGTAACAATTCTGCTTTGCGCACAACTATGTCTAATCTATCCCCTAGCAAAACAGTGCTGTAATATCTTCGCGTTTTCTGACAGGAAATGTAGTAGTACTTTGTATTACAACGCAAAGACAATTTTAAGAGTTTCCACTTACACTAAGTACATGTTTTGGTTGTTTTCTACTGCAACGATCTTGTACAATATCCCATCCAGTTTCTTCACCAATGTTACTTTTATTTGTAAAAAAATGATAGCCAGTAACAATTATATAAGATTAAAAAAAACACATTTTTTTAGTTCTCAACTATCAGAAATTCCACAATTATCCTAAACTTCACTGACATATTCAAAAATTGTTCGTGATATAAATACTAAGTCTATATTTTAACTTACGTAATGTATTTAAGTATTTCGATGCAATTATTACACATGTGATTAATTTGTTTGTTCCGTTCAGTTCTCTTCATATTTAAGCACCAAATATTTGAACTGGACATTTGATGGTGTTTGGAGTGTATTGATGTCATCTTTACTCACACGAAGGAGCACTCAGATTAATGTTTGAATGTTTAAAGTCCAGTGGCAAATATGTCATTCATGTTCAAGACGTAAATAAAAAAGGTATATATCATGTACATGTAATAGGGAATTGACCTGCATGAAAGGCAGGAAATATAGAATTATACTGGAAAATTAGGGTAAATTTGATAGGGACACAAATTTTGCCTGGCAACAGGCCAACAACAGGGCCCTAAAAATGCTGTTGCAAGGGTTCTGTACGTGAAGAGACCGTGGCTTTCTATCTACACGAGACATCTGTTTTAACGTCCCCATTCTGACTGGACGTGGCAGCGTACTTATTAATCCCGCACATTCAAACTGATGTCCCTCTTTGGCAACGTTTTACTGTGGGTCGGAATATCTGTGTTGACCATAATTCTATTCCCCAGTCACCCTTGGAGACTTGGTACAAAGAAAATTGAAATTTAATATTGTCCAAATTGTAGCTTATGTCCTTATAAAGTCTGTACAAGTCATATGTTGGACAATAAGATGTGAATTTTTCTCATTACTTGTCATCCACAAGGGTGACTGGAAAATAGATATATGGTCTCTTAATATGTCTTTTTCCGACCGGCAGTAAAACCCTTGCCAGAGTGCCAAAACTAAAGAAATTATATAGTTCTTTTCCAATCATATCAATTTATCAAATCAAATTCAAAATATAATATCAATAAACTCAAACGTCAAGTATTTACTGATGGACATTTTTATATGTCAATCTCTTCTTCTAGTCTAACATACCGTTTTTTGAATATATTGCAACACATCATATAAGCAGATACCAATCCATTCTAAAACTATACAATAATTAACGTAGAATTAAATGATAATAGTGAAATATTAATTCCGTTTTTTGTCATATCGGATTCAAAATCCTAGATAATTAAAATTGAGATTACTGTGTGTTATCGTAACCTCAGATTGAAACCATGCAACTACATGTTTTTTTTTGTTTTCATTCATTACAATTTAAATTTACTATACTAATTTATGTATGTGCTTCCCTGATAAATGAATTCACTGTTAAAACCTAGATCTCTGGTTAAAACCTGAGGGACAATATATAACATTATTTATAATATTTTATTGATGATATATTTAGTTTCCGCTGGGAATAGTATACCTTACGTCCCAGGTTTCAGATTAAACTAAATAATTTTAATGAATATTGAATTTCTTTTGCTTTTAATAGAACTTCTGTTAGTATTTATTGGCGAAATTAAATGTTTTTTTACAGAAATATCGTTAAGTTTAGGTGTCAGACCACCAATTCAAAACACCTATAAAATCTTCTAAATTTTAAAATTTTCTTTGCTTTCTATGTTTTTTAGCTTAAGGTTTAACTTCATAGAAACAGGCATAGTTCTGTACACGTATCACCTTTCTATATGCCAATTTTCAATCAATGTTTAAAAGTCTTGCAGTTAAACACAACCGTTCAGAAGTCAACTGCTCCTGAAAATAACCCCTGGTTTTCGGGACATCTTAAATAAGTATACTATGGAGCGCATTTATCCTCAAATTTTAATGCAAAATCATGGACATGTCAATGTTTGGCTTAGAATGGTCTAATATATTTTTCTTTCAAAAAAAATTTCTGTTTTACGCACAGCTACGCCTAATCTACCCCCTAGCTAAACATTACAATTACTGTAATATCTTTGCCATTTCGTAAAGTAAATATAGTAGTGCTTTGAATTACATCTCAAAGATAATTTTAAGAGTTTCCACTTTTACTTAGTAAAACATTTGGACTGCGACGATTTTGTAGAGTTTCCAGTTTCTTTACAAATGATCCTTTTACTGGTAAACATTTAATAGCCTGTAAAAATAATATAAGATTATAAAAACCAATAGTATATTTTAGGGTATATAACATGATATGTATAGTTTTCATGTATTAGAAATCCTACAATTACCCCAAACTTCAATGGCATATTAAAAATTGGTCGTTTATATAAAATACTTAAGTATATTTTGTTCGTAGTTTTACCCTCTAAGTCTATATTTTGATATACGTAATGTATTTATGTTTTTCGATACAATAAATACAAATGTTATCGATATGGGTGCCTTTTAGGTCTCGTCCAAATCATACTCTAAATATTTGCAACCGGACGTTTGTTTTGGTGTTACGAGTGCATTGGGGTCATCATTAAAAACATAAAGGCACACTCAGATTGATATTTAATTGTTTAACGTCCAGTGGCAAATTTTAAATGCATGCTCTGGACGTAAATGCAATAGGTAGGTCATGTAATAGGGGATTGACCTGCAAGAAAGGCA